CTTTGCCTTTGATGTTCAGGGCTCCTAGATTGTCATATATAGTCAATTCACTTGCTTTTTTTGGGTCTTTGTTGTAAGAGGGACCACAGGAAGCATCTGACTACTCCACCATCTTGGCCCCACCTCTTGAAAGAAAATATTCTTAATATAAAATTGCAAGGCTCAACTTCCTTCACTTATATATAAGAAAAATGAGTCTAATGTTTTTCTCTTTGCCCTTGAAAGAAGAATGAATACCAGAAACCTTTATGTGGCTCTACTTAGGGGGAAGGCTCATTACAACCAAACTTCAGGAAAACTACAGAAAAGGGTAGGTGCTGGGCTATTTCATCTCTCCTTGAATAGATACATGTATGTACTTATGTAAACCTTTTGGGAATCCCACATTTATATTTTTCAAATTTTAGTATAGTCGTTCCTCCGTATCGCTGGGGATTGGTTCCAGGATCCCCAGGGATACCAAAATCTGCAGATACTCAGGTCCCTTATATAAAATGGCATAGTATTTGCATATAAGCCTATGCACATCCTGCTGTATACTTTAAATCATCTCTAGATTACTTATAATAGCTAATACTATGCAAATTCTATGTAAATAGTTGTTAAATAGTACTGTATTTTTACGGAATAATGGCAAGACGAGAGGTGAACTATGTTCAAACAATGAATGCTGGGGAGAAACTGGGGATCTGTGAAATGGCAAGAGGCTACAGCAGGGGATCCTACACATTTCATTTGAGGGGATTCAGCATAGTGCTCAGGGCATGGCAAATTCAAGTTTTGCTTTCTGAAACTTTTTTTTCCAAATATTTTTGATCCATGGTTGGTTGAATCACAGATGTGGAATCCAGAGATACAGACAGCCTACTGTATTAGATTATGCTTACAGGTTAAAAAAAAACTATGAAGAAAATTAAAATTTCTCATGATTCTATGATTCAGAGCTATTATTATTTGGTATATTGCCTTTCAGCTATTTTTCCTGTTAATTTTTATATGTTTGTAATACATGCATGTAAGGAGCCCCAGTGGTACAATGATTAAGTGTT